AAGAGTGTCCTAGCTGTGGCAGGAGCACCAGGCAGAGAAAGGCAATGCCACCAGCACCTCTGTTTGTACATAGCTTACTTCATAGGAAGAACTTATTAATTAAAAAGATTGATTTTATATATCTGTGTTCCTTTTGAAACACCCAAGTTTTAATTTAAGGCTGTGTCTGTAGCTAGAGAAAATATGAAACCTAATTAGGGAGCTATGGCAGTCATGAGAATTTACCTCTCAAATCTGTCATGGGGCCACATATGGTAGGGATTCTGAGACCCATCCTAGGAGACAAGGGGCTCCTCTGCTGGCTGAGCTAGCCTCCCCAAATTCTAGGTGCACTTTCCTCAGATCGCATTGCAGTCTAGGAAGCTTCCACTCAATCTTCCTTCTTTCCTTTTCTCTCTCCTTCCCTCAAATTCAGACTTGTTCCTTCCCATTTTCTCTCACAGATATTTACCCTAATAAATTTCTTACATGTTTAATCTATCTTGGCATCTGCTTCTCAGAGGATCTGACTAATCCACAAATCATTCTAATCTTTTTGTTTGGAAGCAGACCAGTTCTCCTAAGATGTGAGGGATACTGTGGTTATCTCATCTAGTATCCTGAGTAGGTAAGATTCAATTATTAACCATGAGCCTTTGCCCTTGAGCTAATTTGACATCCTGGGTAAGGTGTGGTTACAGAGACCCCTGTGGTCCACCTGAGAAATGAGATGATCAAGTTTCAAGAACCATTAGAAAAATTAATTTCTTGCTTTTAAACTCAGGGATTCCTAATGGGGATGAGAAAACAAAAAAAGATGAACACTTACTAAGACTTTGCTAAGCTGAATATTTTCCATAGGAGAGCTCATCGGATGATTAAATAAAAATCCATTTTTATCCCAGAGGGGGAATGAGGTTCAGAGAGGGTAAGTAATGTATCCAGTGTCACACATTTGATAAGAGGCAGAGCTGGTATTTGAACCTGGGTCTTCCCTGTTCTACAAGCCAGCATACCCTTTCTACTCCACCCCATGCCTTTTCACAAAGCAGTTTTGCAGTGAGTTCTTGGAAAAGTACTGTCTGTTTTCTTTTTCTTTTTCTTCTTACAAGCTGGTGCTAGAAACCTACCAGTTTCAGAGTCTGGTTTGTTCCTCAACCCTGGTTTGTTAGATTCCCCCTGCCCCCCAGGTCTTCTTTATGTGAAATGTCTCATAATTAAAAAGTACAGATTCTATACAGACACAGAGGCTTTTCAGTATAGACCACATTTCCAATAGTGGTTATTATGCATGGATGTGCTTGGAGAATTAGATTTCTGTGGTCTTGACTTTAATTGCCCTGTCTAGATATGTGATTAAGCTTTTGTTCTTTGTTTCAAGATGACCGGTCTATGGAGTTGTGTAGTTTTAATTTTATCTGAAGTGTAGTTTGAGAACAGGCAATAGAGCTTAATGCTTTTCCCTCTTTCTTTTTGCAGTTACTACTATGATTATTTTAATATTTTCAGGTCTTCTAAACACTAAGAATGATATGAAATCGCATTATGTTATGGCTGAATTTTGAGTGTAATGTGGAGTTTTTTATTTAAAAAGAATTGTAATTCAAAGAGGGGATAAAGATTGAATTTTGCATTGGGGGGCCGGGGAGGGGGTTTACTACCCTTCCCCCGAGACAGAGCATGTAAATGTGAAGCTTGCGGGAAGTTGAGGAAAACATAGTTTAATATAAAATTGTAGGCCCCTGTCTTTGAACATCCGTTACCACGGCAACTGATTTAAAAGCTTGAAAGAGCAAGCTATTTAGGCAACTTAACTAGATGTTTTCGAAAGTATGGGAACTAAAAATATTTTAAAAACAGACACACGTAGATCTCCATTCAGCTGACCTGGCTGACATAGCAGTACAACATTGCTGTGACAACTGGACAGATTGCACAAAGGAACATGGTTACGAAACAACGGCTTGAGCCAGGAGAGCAGGTCTGGCACCGAGGCTGTCATTTTCTCACTGTGTTTGGGAGATGATCAGCTAGATGGAGCTTACAGCACCCTCGCTACACAGAGATGAGGGCAACATTAACTTCATCTCTTCTGTCCTTTTAAGCCATAGATGAAGGAGCAGACTAACAGTTTCTAGTGCGCAAACACGGAAAAGAGAAAAGTGAATTTCCTGAGAGAAACACAGTATCCTTCCTGCCAGTAGCTTCTTTTACCAATTGTATTAAAAGTGACCTTTTTTTTTGGTGGAAGGACAAAGTGCTATAGGAATTCAGTATACCTACATGTTCATTTGGAATTGCAAACTCCCAGAATTATCCCTTTACCATCATGTGCATCAGGTTCAAAGTGGAAAATAAGTAAATAAAAGTTTTCAGTGACTTAAAGCAACAAGATTGAAGTTCTGCGAACATAGTCATTCTTCAGCACGTATTTGTGAATGAGTCGATTGAGGGAAAGATCACAAAAGGGAGAGGAAATATCAGGCCCAGGTGTTCTTGCCCTTTGCATTGCGTATGGACCATTTAGGTTTCTTAGAAATCACGTTTTCAAGACAGTAGTTGACCAGACAGTCCTTTTCTTTGAGAAGTCTTTTCATCATTCCAACGATTTTTTCAAAGCAGATTATATGACCTTAAAAATCAGACACAGAAAACACAAGTAGAAAATGATTGCCTAAAGGAATTTTCTAGATTGCTGATTTACGTGATGAAATAATACAAAAGGAACATCTTTGGATCTATGAAGAATTGCTAAAAGAAAAAGTGTAGACGGGTTCAGATTGAAGAGGGAAGAATCACAGCCCAATTTTAAAGGTCTACTGATAAACTTCAACCTTTAAGCAAAATTGATTTTTATGGAAAGGTATGCAGTACCATGTACCTAAGTGGACATCAGAGGAAATACTCAATGTTAGTTAAGTTCCATATGCTCACTTTTGTGTTTTGCTATTGGTTCTTTTCTTGTTATCCAAACACACGTTATGTTTCTGTTATTTGGATAACAAGAATGATGGATACTGAGTTGAAAGCCTCCTTTTCTGGGTACAATGAACAATTCTAACACTGTGGAGTTTTGAGCCCAAACATTAGTGAACTAAGGCAGTGATGAAAGATCTTTTTACTGAGAAGGTTTGAGAAACTGCTTTTGATTCCGGAAAATTTCTTATAAATGTCAAAAGCCTTCATATTCAAAGGAAGTCTGTTCTAGAGACATCAGTGACATCATCATCCCATAAACAAAGAGGAGTATGTAGGTTTAGGATTCTTAGTAAGGGAAATGTGTCCTGGATAAAGTCAAAAGGAATATTGTATGGGTAGATGTTCTCAGTAACAAATAAGTCGGTGTTTTAAATGTCTCCAACTTACTCATAAATACTTATTCTAAGCTTGATAGGATAAAAATTAACATGTAGGTTCACATCTTCTCCTCTCTAAGGAGAGAAATAGACAAAAATATGCGTGCGTTTATTTTTAACAGAATATCAATGAAAATAGAAGAAGAACCTCACACCTTAAGGAGACCGTGGTAGAGAGATGAGACTTCTCAGACAGTGTTGAGAGGAGCAGAGAGAAAATGGCAGACCAAGACGGGAGCATGAGACCAGAATGGTGCAGATGAGAGTTTATTTGAGGGAGATGAATAAAAGACTCCTAGGAGAACAGAAAAGATAGGGAAATTCTAAATAAACATTGCTTTGGACTACAATTTTGAAAACCCTTAAAACTCAAAGAAGGTTATAAAGATAGACATTTCTGCCTATACCACCCTTCTTTAAAAATTATATCGCTCCAGTTTTCATCACAAGAAAAAAAATTTGTAGCTATGGTGGTAGATATTAACTAGACTTATTGTGGTGAGTTGATCACTTTGCAGCATATACAGATACAGATATGTTGTACACTTGAAACTCATTTATATTATATCTCAATTACAAGATTATATCACTGCAGAACTAGAATATGAGAGCCATTGCTTTATAAGCTTTATACCAGTAATTCAAATTAATTCAATTCAAGAAACAATTGTTGGTTTGGGAGACTGTGACATGTACCCAATCTTGAAATAGAATTCTCCAAGGCTTCCTTTTATACTTTCTTTATCTAGCCTCTTTGCTATATTATCTGAAGGAAACAGATATAAGAAAGACAGAGTCCTTCCCTCTGAGAGCTAATAATACAATGGAAGGAATACTTAAATGTTACTAGATATAATGCTACTACTATTACTAATAAGTTATATTCAAGTGCTATTCTAACTGCAAGGAGGAATTCCAGAAAGAAGGAAAGCAGATAGGATTGCGATTATTATTACTATTGCTGCAGATTGGTGATGAAACTGTGGACTTTTCAATAACTGGTGCTGGAGCAATCGATTATCCCTACAGAAAGAAAGAAATTCGTCTTATACTATATATAAAAATCAATTTAAAGTAGATTAGAGACTTGAATATATAAGACAATCTATAAATCTTTTAAAAGACAATATAGCAGAACATCTTTACAACTTGAAGCCAGAGAAAATTTTCATAAACAAGACGCAAAGAGTACTAACCGTAAATGAAAGATTTTATTAGTACAATACATTAAAAATTAGTTGTGTTCATTTAGACATCACAAAGAAAATGAAAGGATAACTTGCAAAATGGGGAAGGATCTTTGCAACACAAATAATCCAGAAAATATTAATATCCAGGATATATAAATAACTTTATGACCATTTTATTTTTAAAAGCAAACACTACCATAGAAAAATGGGTAAAGGACTTGTACAAGTATTTTGCAAAAAAGCCTATGTTAATGGCCAATCAGAATATGAAGATGCTTTTTCTCATTAGTAAATCGAGGAAATGCAAGTTCAGTTCAAAATGAGATAACAGTAGGTGGATATTACAGGCTGAACCAAAATTCATATGTTGAAGCCCTCACCCCCACAAACTCAGAATGTGATGTATTTGGAGATGAGACTTTCAAAGAGGTAATTAAGGTTAAAGAGGTCACATGGATGGGCCCTAATCCAATCCAAGTTTCAGTTTGAAGGCTTCAGATCTCAAGAAAAAAATTTTACTCATTTCTATAAAATTTTGCCGACAGCCTTGGGCTCGTATGTGGTATTAATGCCAAATTTCCTCCCCAGTTTTCATTCACTATTTTAAGAAATAAACTTTCTGATAAGCTTGGGTTGGGTAAGGAGTGCCTAAAACTTGGAAAGTACAATACTTAGAAGTCTAATTGCTCGAGAGAAAATAATATTGCTTTTGACAGAGTAAAGATAGTTGCATAGCAGTTGAAAATGATGCTGGTCACATAGAGTCAACTGTTTGCTTGCTAAATAAATGGATTTATTCCTTTCTCTTTTAATGGTATGTATTAACATTCCCAAATTTAAAAAATGGTAGAAATATATTAAGAGATCACCCATTGCTAGCTTGGAGCAATGGAGCGTTTCTCAAGATGTAATTCATGGGCCAGGTTAGGTTAATAGATTTTAAGTGTAAAAAAAGGTTTTGTGGTCAAAGTTTGGGAACTTTGGCTAAACTAATACACATTGCTACTCACCAAGAAATAAGCCGCAGTACGTGGTGATTGCCACGCTGATTTGACTTCATGGTGAAGGACTTGCTTTCCTCATTTGATGTAGAGTCTGACAGACCTGGGTTTGTATCCTGCACCACTTTAGGCAAATCACACAACCTTTTTGAACTCTGGTTTACCTGCAAAATGGGTCTCGTAGCACAGACTTCATGGTTTTGTGGTGGAGATCAAATGAAATAATGCATATAAAACACCCAGCAAGGTGATTGCATCACCGTAAGTGATAATTTAAAATTTACGCTTTCACCCCTAATTTTGGAGTTAGGGGTCTAAAGTGAAATGCCCATGCACACTGGAATAGGAGTAAGAAGAAGCAGGTCCTGCCACTTCCTGATTGAATAACTTTGGCAAGCTTCTTCACCAAGAGAGTTGGGTTACTAGTGTCTTCCCCTTAAGAAACAGCCATGATGATATTTGCCATCTTTTATATAGAATTTATGAGAACCAAGAAGTTTAAAAATTATTATGGAAATTCTCAAACATCATGCTGTTTACCCATAAATTCTTCAGTATGTGTTATTAATGGATAAGGATTTATAGATACATAACTAAATTTGCATGACTTTCTAGTTTTACATACTGTCTATGCGATTATTATTTCTAACAATATTAAAACAGTAATTTATCAACACAATTTATCATTAGTCCATATTTTTTCCCCAGATTGTCTCAAAAATGTTCCTTTTACATTTGGTAGGATTGAATCAAGAGTCAAGCAAATTGCCCATTTTGCATATATCTCTTAAGTTCATTTTAATTTTCGTCCCTCCAACCCATACTATAGTCTTGTTAAAGAGAATGGGTCATTTCTTTGTAAAACGTCCCACATTCTGGATCTTACTTTACTTTAATGATGTACTTTTTAACTTGTTCTTCAATCTTCTACATTTTTGTAAACAGGTAGTTAGATCTAGAGGTTCACTTACACATTGGTACAATTTTTTAGAAAAGATACTTCAGAGGTTGTGTTATGTTTTTCTCGTTATATTACATCACAAGGCACATTCTATCTAGTCATCTCCGTTTTAGATATCTTAAGATTGATCACTGAACACAAGTGGTATTAACATAATCCTTTTATTGTAAATTCCCCATCAACTACTCACTAATAATTTTAGAATCCATTTTTTAATCATTGACTAAATCCATTCTTGCATTAAGGATTACAAGATGGCAAACACCTATTCTATCATTCTTTCTGCACTTATTAGCTATAATATTTCTATAAAGAAGAACTTTCTTTCATCAATTATTTGGTTACCCTGAAGCACAGAAAGAAAGAGTAAAGCACTTCTCATTGTTTTATTTATTTAATGAATATCTGTTGGTACCAGGACCTGTGCTAGGTGTTGGGAACATAATAGCAAACATATCTATATCTTACTGTTAGGAAGCTTCTGCTTTAGGTAATATAGATGAGTAAATGAACAATTACCATATTGTGTCAGATATTATGAAGAAAGTACATAGTTCTAAGGGAGTCTTTCTGGGCTTGGGTTATTTGTTCTTATGCTATTGTTTGGAATCTACTTTGTATAATGTATTAATTTGTCAGGGCTGCTATAATAAAATACCATAGACTGGGTGGCCTAAACAGCAGAAATTTACGTTCTCACATTTCTGGATAATAGAAGTCCAAGATCAAGACTGGTTTCTTCTGAGACCTCTCTTCTTGGCCTGTAGATGGCCACCTTATTGCTGTGTCCTCCCTCTGGCCTTCCCTCTGTAGCTGTCTGTGTCCTAATCTCTTCTTGTAAGGACACTATTCAGATTGGATCACAATTTATCAGTATGACCTCATTTAACCTTAATTGCCTCTTTAAAGGCCCTCTCTCCAAATACAGTTACATTCTGAGGTACTGGGGGTTAGGACTTCAACATATAAATTTTGGGGGACACAGTTCAGCTCATAAAATATAATAAGGCTGAAGATTTACTCATTTTCGTCCTCACTAGCTGCAAGCCTCTTTAGGGGTTGGGAACCTTCAGTTATACCTCATGATTTCCTAACATGGTTCTAATAAGTTTCTAGTAAATGAGTCATTTATTACAGGTTTCTAGAAAATTAAATCATCATAGAAAGCATTCATTGAAAACTTGTATGAAAGAATAGTATAGTTATTGTTTCTTGAGCACTTATTATGGACCAGGCTAAATAGTATACACACACACACACACACACACACACATTTGTATATAATCTTATTCATCTTCAGAATGATCCTCAAATTTGACTGTTGCTATCACTATCATTACCATTCCTCCTTTGAGGGTGAGGAACTTGGGAAGTAAGATAGGTTAACTTGTCTAGGCTGCCATCACAAATAAGTGCAGGATGAAGGATTTGAACCCAGAGCTCATGGTTATACCATAATATTATACTGCCCATGATATTTAGGACAATGTTTTATAAATGGCAGATCTCCATAAAAGGTTAGATATTGATGTAGTTCACTAGAAATAGCATGGACTTTAGAGTCAAAATGGCCTCTATTTAATTTTCAACTCCATCATTCCAAGCTGTGTGGTCTTGGGCTCCTAATTCATCTGAGAAACCACAGTTTCTCAAATTAGAAAATGAAAATAATGATATCTGACTTGATGGATTGTTATGAGCATTTGAGAGACTGTGCAGGTGAACCATAGCAAACATTGGACAGATTAGATTCTAGATCCATGATAACTGCTATTACAGTCTCCTCGTAGTTCCTTGACATGTTTTTGTACCCAGTGATTTTTCTCATTTGAGGCTGGGAAGTTACCACAAAGGAATGAAGACAAAGGGGTGGGAGTAATAGATTACATTATTACAGCCCATCCCAGAAATACAGATCCAGTATGCAGATTCATTTATTAGCTCATCCTCACACAACTTATTGTGTGCCCACAGGCTGTGGGAGACTGGGAGTCATGTGTGAAGCCTGTCCTTAAAGGCCTTCTGCCTGGTGACTGATGTAGATGTATTTGTAGGAAGTTAAGCGACACTGCTTTCCATCCATCCATTTACCAAAGTGGCTCTATCATACAGTACATGAAATTATAACAAAAACATAAACCTAACAAACCGCCAGTGTTAGGCACTTCCTTTTAAATCTATAGTTAATAGAGTGAATTTTTTTATTCGGCAAATAAAAAAATTTCATGATGGATATATGGATCTATCTATCTATCTATCTATCTATCTATCTATCTATCTATATCTATCTATCTATCTACCTATCATCTACCTATCATCTACCTATCATCTATCTATCTATCTATCTATCTATCTATCTATCTATCTATCTATCTATCATCTATCATCTATCATTTCAGTAGAATTACCCAGGTATATAATTTTCAACTCATTATCTTTAAAAGGGATATCTAGAGTTTTGACTTTGTCCAAAATGTTCATTTGCCATATATTTTTTTAAAATCATTAAATTTTAACTAAATGCACACCCTTTCTGCTCAACTGGAGGGGAAAACATAGTTTAAATACCTGTCAAATCCGTCATCATTACTCTTAGAAAATGGCCTAATTATAGGCCTCAAAATGCTGATCTGCTCGGAGGAATACCATACACGTCACCCATGGAACCTGCAACGGAAGCACATGTACAAATGGTGGAGCCCCAAAACCTTCCCAGAAGATTCCTGATGCATTCATACTGGAAGGCTGGAAATTTCCCATTCAACCCTAGTAAAGAGTTGAGGATGGGGAGGGGAGAGAAAACCCACTTATCTTAAAGATTCATGATTCAAGCGCCTGATAGAATCTGCAGTTTCCATAGTGCTGGGCCCTAGATTTCCCTTTAATGTAATTAAGCCTCAAGATTTATGAATACAACAGGCCAGAACTTGATCCGTGTTCATTTTCAATTACTGCAGTGAAAGGGCTCTATCCAGATGTCTCTATTTACAGCATTCAGGCAGGCTGGCCCAGGGGCCGAGGGGGGAGGGCCCACAAATTGTCACACTTGTTAATTCTTCACAGAGGATACTCAGCTGAGGTCCTGGCTTTGACCCTGTGACAAAAGGCTGGGGGCCCCCAGGGCAAGGGCATCAATGCTTCTAGGGACAACACGGTGACCTATGGGGGTCACTCCCTCTGCTTTGTAGGTATTTGTGTAATAATGGGGTCCATTCCTTATTTTCATTTCTGTTACAGTTCTGGGAGCATCCAAGGGAAAAGACTGGCTCTGATGTGAAAGACAAACATATATAATGAGAGCATCAAGTGTCCCCTGGCAACAGTAACCACGATAAAATGCTACAGGGGAAATACACAGTATGCAGTGACCCACATAATCGGGCCTATTTTGGAAGCATTGTTTTATTTTTCTTTTGAAGGGTGGTGTGTGTGTGTGTGTGTGTGTGTGTGTGTGTGTGTGTGTTTTG